AGGAGGAAGCCACAGAGAAGCTGTGCTGGCTACAGCAAGGGCGCCAGAGCTGATCGGTCTAGGTCCAAAGCCCAGCTCTTCCACTCACCGGCTGTGCAGCCTCGAGCAGGTCAGCTAGCCTCTCTTGCTTCAGTATCCCCATCTGAAGAACAGGCTTCAAGTTTCATGAGGCTGAATTTTGGCATACATTGAATTTCACGTGTTTATTAAATTGGAAAAGAGAAAAAAAAGTAAAGACAGAGAAAGCTGGTGGACTCAGCGCCCAGCCAGGTTTGGGGACAATCGAGTTGTCGGGCCAAGGGCACGTGTTGGCCCCGGGCAGTGGCCCAGTCTGGCCCAGTCCAGCCCAGCCAGGTGGGTGCCGGGCCTGGGGAGGGGCAGCGTCTCCCAGCCTCGCTGGGGCAGGCGCCAGCATGTGTGTGTGCACGGCTGTGTGTGTTGCTGCAGCAGCTTCTATGCAAACATGTTAATTTGTTTTCATTTTGTGTTTTTTTTCCCTCGCAGGATAATTGGGTGAGTTTGAAGTCTTGGCGAGGCTGCTGATTATAGCTATTTGGGTGGTGCCCTCGTGGGGCTGGGGCCCTGCCTCCTGCCTCTGGCGGTGAAGGCGGCAGCTGGGGGTGTCTTCAGGGGCACGTGGAGCTGCCGCTGGGTTCTGGGGGGGCTCTTGCTGGGCAGGGGTGTGGATAGGGAGCGCGGGACACCCTAGGACCCCCATCAGTCCCCCCACCCAGATGACATTGTATCACTGAAGGGTGTAAATGCCACCCACAAACATCTTTTTCTTTGCCCTGTTGGCTGCAGTAAAAGGAAACTGTGATGTGGTTGCCAATATTGAAAAGAAGAACTAAAATTCCACCCAAAATTCCCATCGTCTGGTTTCGCTTGAAAACTAACGAGAACTGGCAGCTCTGGAGCCCACATTCCCACAAGACCCAGTGGTGGCTGCTTTGCTCATTGTGTCACCTGGCTGGCCCCCGCGGGCACCGGAGTTTTCCACCCAGTGGGGGGCTGGGGAGGGCACCGGGTTTGGGGCCGGATGGTCCAAGGCTACAACAGAGGCTCTGCCCACAGAAGGTGTGTGACCTCAGCCCGCACCTGCTTCTGGAGCCTGGAGCCTCCTGTCTCATCCATAAACTCCCTGTCTTCCCCTGGGGGGATTAAACCGAGGTGGCTGAGCTTTCAGGAGGAAGCATCGCAAGAGCTCAGAAGTGTTCGCTCCCCTGGGTGGAGGAGGGAGACCTGGGGTGAGCCCTGCCTGATCCGCGGGTGTCCTGCACTTGACCCCAGCCTCAGAAACGCAGCCTCGTCATCCATCTGCTTGTATCTGTTTCTGCCACGAGGCCAGGCAGGGGCCTGGAGCCTGACGGCCAGGGCTGCGTCTTTGTTTAGACGTCACTGAAGGCCTACTATGCGCCACACTGTGGATCAAGAGTGAAGAGAAAGAGGTTCGGGGCTCTGGCATCGGTGAGTCGGGTACAGGGCCCAGGGGAGGGACTCGAAGTCCCTCTAGGGGAGAGAAGAGTTGGAGTCACGCATGCAGAGAAGGCGCGTGACTGCCCACATGAACGTGGGGTGGGGAAGGTGCTCGACGTAGGCACCCGAGTCTGAGCAAAGGCACAGAGCAGGGTGTGGCCTGGCGGGTGCGAGCTGGTCCCAGGTTCCCGGAATGTGCCAAGGGAAGCCACGTGGCCTTGAGGGTGGCTGGGCCTCCCACAGGCTGGGCTGGCAGACAGGACTTGCTCAGTGGCTGCAGTGGGCACCTGTCCAGCAGGCTGGGGGCAGGCCAGGAAGACACTAAGAGTTGGGGTTTCTGGGAAGCCACCTTCCCTGTGTTCCTGGGCTCCTTAGGGCCCTGGGACCCTTGACTGGCCACTTCAGAGTGATCTGAGCCTCAGTTTGCTCACCTGCAAAATGGGGCTACGGCAGGGACCCAGTGAGCTAACCCGTCACGTGCTTGTGTTCCTAAGAGTTACCCTCACATCCCTGTCGCCCACCCACTCCCTTGCCCTCTCACCTCTCCCAGGAGGTGGTAAAGGATGCCCAGAGACCCCAGGCCACCTCTGTGCAGCCTGGTGCATGCAGGTAACTGAGCTCAGCATGTTAGCTGCCCCCTCCCCGGCCCAGATCCCTGATGCTCCCGAGGCTAGATTCTATTTCATTCTCATTTTTAAGCTAAGGGAAGGGAAGCTCAGAGAAGGTTTAATGGGTAGGACAACCCTCAACAGGTTCCTGGGCTTGGTCTCCACTTAAAGCTGCAGCCACTAACCCAGACCCTGGCCAGGATGGAGAGATGGATGGATGCCTGGTACCCTGTTGCCCAGGCAACAGAGACAGCCGGCAGCCTTTCTCAGGCCACCCTGGCAACTGAGGCAACATCTCAAATTGCAGCCCTGGACCCAGGGCACACAGGGCAACTCCAGGGGAAGACAAGGCATTGAAGTCAGCCCAATACTGGCCCCAGGACCAGCTGTGTGACTAAGGCGAGTCGCCTATCCTGAGCCCCAGTGTCTTCACCTGTAACCTGGGACTACTGCCCTTGACCTGCAGGACTGGTGGACTGTCTTGCCTGTTGCTGGCACATACTGGCCCATGGCAAACCAGGTTAGTGGCTGACCTTGGCTTCTCTAGCAGCCAGGGGTTCCCAGGAAACAAGAGGAAGGCAAATAATGGCAGAAGGAGGTGGCAGGGAGATGGCAGGCTCCCCGGCCAGTCCGCTGGGGTGGCTGCAGGCCTCTGTGGAGGGCTCAGGCCTCCCTGGTCACACAGGGTGGCAGCTGGCAGCACCCCCGCCCCCACTGAATTCCGCACAAAGGGGCCTCTGTTCCTGCTCTAAACATTTGTCCCTGGCCGGCTGGGCTGCACCGCCCTCGCCCCACTCCCCTGGTTGCTCCGCCTGGCCCGAGCCGGACACAAAGGCCGGCGTGTCCCTGCGAAGCCAGCCTGGCCTCAGAAGACCCCATCCACAGAGAACTAGAAAGCTCAAAAGGGTGGATTTGTAGAGCTGGCCAGGCCTCCATCCAGGCCACAGCGAGGATGGGGCTAGACAGGAGGAAAATGGCTTTGGAGCAACTGAACCTGAATGTGGCTCCAGCTTCCCCACCTTCTTGCTCTGCAGCTCTACATCAGTTTGGTCCTCGGTTTTCTCATCTGTACAATGGGGGCAATGACGACAACCCACCCACCGTCTTGGGGGTGGAGGGTTTGGTTAGGAATGCGAGCCTGGCGTGGACCCAGCACCTCAGACACAGATTAGAGGCAATTAGGGGTGGGGGGAGCAGGCAGCTTCCCCCTCCCCATAGACCACTCCCCTCCTCTCCTCTCCTCCCAGCAAAGGTCCACGTGTGTTGGTGCTGACCCTCAGGCTCCAGCCGGAATCCCTGACTGCCTCTGGCCCATCTTCAGGCAGCAGAATAACAACAGCCACTGCTTATGAAAACAACTACTGTGTGCTGGGACTTTTAGTTCCATCATCTCTTTTTGACCCTCCAGCTATTCTGGAAGGGCATACCAGGGTGGGCTCCACAGGCCAGTGACCCTGGCTGCGAGACTCTGAGCCTCATGCTTCCTGTTGCTAAGAGCTGTCTGCCCTCAAGAGGTTCCTGTGATGATGTCATTGACTCAATGGACATGAGTTTGAGTAAACTGTGAAAGATAGTGAAGGACAGGGAAGCCTGGCATGCTTCAGTCCCTGGGGTCACAAACAGTTGGACATGACTAAACGACTGAACAGCAAGAACTAAACGAGAAAAAGCCTGCTTTGGGACTTCCCTGGTGGGCCAGTGGCTAAACTCTGTGCTCCCAATGCAGGGGGGTCAGGTTCAATCCCTGGTCAGGGAACTAAATCCCATATTCCACAACTAAAGATGCCACAATGCCACAACTAAGACCCAGAGTAGCCCATTCCAACCCCCACCCCCACCAAAAAAAAAGCCTGCTTCGTGCCTACAGACCATAGCCTGGCCCCAGCAAGCTTGAAATCCTGACCTACTGGGCTATGACTCCCAAATCAGATAGGGAAACTGAGGCCCAGTTGGCAAGTGGCTCAGGGCCTGGCATGCTGTGGGCGGGCAATGAACGTTATACCTGACACATCATCCTAGGAGGTGGAATCGGGGCTCCCAGCCAAAGTGGGGTGGGCACTGAGCCCCTCTTTTCTCCTTGAGGACTTTGCACATCAATTTTAGCAGGATTTTTTTTTTTTCTTCTTGCTTCACAGTCATTCTCTGCCTGTGGAGGGCAGGGCCGGAGACCCGGGCCTGGAGCCGGACCCAACTCCCTGGCTGACCCCCTGGAGCCCTCACCCTAATGCACAAAGTTCCCCCTTCTCCCTCCCACCAGCGCAGGGCAGCCAAGTGAACAGCCGAGTCCCAAGTAATTAAGCCAGCGCGCACCATCCGGGCGCCCGGGAACACTGTGGAGTTTCCCTTTTATGTTTATAGCAATTGTATGAAAATGTGCAACACTGAGCGGCACCAGCTGACAAATGAGACGAAACAGACAGGATTCCGGGCCGGCTTTTTTCCGGGCCTGATTGGCATTAATTGTGAGCGTTTACAAAGCACAACTCGGCGCCTGACATTTGCTTCAAGCGAACGTTTCCTTCTAATAGTTTTAATGATTACAACGGGAGCTGGTGATCACTGCTGGGCGGGGACTGGGCTGCCTGGTGTCTGGCCTGGGCTCCTGCCAGGGGCCTGGCTGATCCATGCTTGCCCGAGGTCCCACTTTCCCCATCACCTGTTGCAGGAGGGCTGCACCAAGCATGAGGCCTTGGGCATCAGCGCCCCAGCATGAGGCCTGGAGCTGCCAGGGCAGACCCAGGAGATGGGGGGGCAGGGGGGAAGGGAGGGGCACGAGGGCTCCTCTAGGTCTGAGGCTAGAAAGGCTGAGTTGCCTCAGCTTACAAGGGACTAGGCAGGACCCCACAAACACTGCCTGCTGTTTGCTGTGTGGCCTTGGCTGAACTCCTTGCCCACTCTGGGCTTAAGCGTCCTCACCTACAATGTGAAAGTCCAAGACATGGTCAGATCAGGGTTCTGGTTCCCCCTCAGGCCTCTTTTCAGCTGCATAACCTTGGGAGAGTCCCTGGCTCGCTCTGAGCCTCAGTTTTCCCCAACAGTAGAATGGAACTCATCACCCCCATAGTTTGCAGAGTGGTTTCTAGATGTCAAAAAAAGGGTGTAAAAACCCTAAGTTTCTGGCAGGCCGGGAGCCTGTGTTTCTTTCCCTCCCCCAGAGAGTCTTCCAAATATCTTGCTCACACATGCGTTCATTCATTCACTGACTCATTCACTCACTGACTAAATGTCGAGTGTCCTGCTTAGGAACTTGGGAATACATCAGTGAACAAAGACCCTCCCTGGGTCAAGAGAGATGACAGATATAGAGGCTTTTCATATGCAGTATCGCATCCATTTCTTACTCCCATTTTACAGACGGGAAAACTGAGGCACAGAGAGGAAGAAGCAACAATCTGATGTCCCCTAGTTGGGATGAGGTGGTGCAGTGATAGGACCCTGGCAGGCTGCCCCAGGGGCGAATGCCCTCAGACGACCAAGCCCACCCAGCCTTTCCTGAGGTCTGCTGACTCCCTGGAGAGGCCTCATCTGCCCAGCCAGGCTGGGTACCAGGGCAGGAGGCCAGGAAACCGGGACCACTGGGAAGAGGGGAAGTCTGTGAGGCCTGGGCGACCTGGGGGAAATGAATTCCTGCAGCTATATCTCCTGGGCGAGAAATGGAAGAAGAGGTGCCTCATCCATAAGCCCCACTCAGGCCCACATTTATATCGACACTACATACAGCCCACTCTGTGCCAAGTCCTGCTCTGCAAGTAGCATTCTCGGGGTGGCTGGAAAAAGAACAGTAGATACTTGGACAGCTCCATGGCACATGCAAAGGCCCAGCGCCCAGAGAAAACCCAGTGGGTTCAGGAACTTCCGGCAGTTTACTGAGGACCCCCCTACACTGCGGCCTCCTCTTAGCAGTCAGGCCCCAGGGGTCAGCTCACCCCTGCCCTGCCCCAACCCCTGACTTTGCCAGGCCCACAGTGGGTCTCAGTTCCATGCTTGCCTGCAGCCAGAAAAACCCTAGCGACTGTTTCTTTCGGAGTCTGTTTGGGGGATGGGACAGGGAGAAACACTTTTTTTTTTAAACAGGGATTTTTTTTTTTTCTCTCCTTTTGCATATGGTGGCACAGATGGGCCCATGATCCATAAAAACTGTTTGCAATTAAACTCCCACTTTGCATGGCTGGATTTGTCAGTTGTGTGAGCCACGAGCGTGGGGCTCCACACTGCCGGGGAGATGGGACTTGGGGCAGGGGCGGGGCCACATTCTGCAAGACAGCGCGGAGGCCCGGGAACCTGCTCTGGGCTTGAGGCCCGAGCTGACGGGGTGTTGAGACGGCCATGCCAGCTCCCTCTCTGGGCATCCCCCAGCCCTCGCCAGGAGCCGGAGTGTGGCCAGGAAACCGGGGTGGGGCTTGGCAGGGACTCCCTGCCCAGCAGAGATTTGGCCAGTGCTGGGTGCCCCGGCTGCGGGGGTAATGAGGATGGAGACAGTGCAGGTAATTATCCCTCAAGACCCTGCCAGACACTGGGGCTGGGACCCAGGACAGGTGGGAGGGTGGTCGGGTAGTGCAAGCCGTAATGGAGGTCTAGCGGGCAGAATGCAACGCCAGGTTCAAGGCTGAGGAGCCAGGACCTCTGGCCCAGTTGGCAGAGAGGGTCTCGAGTGGTGCCAGGAAGAGGTGCCAAGGGCCAGAACTGGCTCCATCCTCACCCCCAGGGGACCTGGTGCCGGCTTCTTGTACCTCTTTGAAGCAGGTAGGAAAATCAAGGCAGTCACTCAGAACATCTCCAGGGCCTGGGCTCCCCCTTGACACACCTAGGGGCTCTCTGCATGCAGAGCTTCTTCCAGGGGCTTCCAAAATGGGGGTAAGGGGCCTGCACCCCTTCCACCAGTGCCGGCCTCCAAATGCCAGCCTGCTGTCCCAGCTGCCTCGCCAGCATGCCTGCTTATTTGGGTTAACAAATGCATCATTTGGCTTGGGGAAATCCTGCATTCACTCATAATTGTTCCCTGATGAAAAGAAGTAAGGCCCCAATACCCCCTTTCCCCCACCTCCCCGCCCCATCCAAGCTGGAAAAGAAAAGTCATAAAAATAGCTTGTTATCTCACCTATTGAGGCTCCGACTGGATGTTACTGCTAATTGGGTATAACATCCTTGTCTTGTTCTCTTAGAAGCTAAATCAAGAAAGCGCCACTGCTGCGAACTAATTATATCTCCGGCCTGCAGCCTGCAGCTTGTCTCTCCCTTTATTGAGTTAAAAAATGGTCATGAACCTTCATCTTTTATCCCCCCATAAGCGCTGGGTCCGGGCTGCCTGCCACGCCTGGCGGTGAAAAGAGCGGACAGCCAGGCGGGAAGGTCTCAGAGGGCTCTGGGGACAGGCAGCAGGGTCGGGGAGGATAGGAAGCCCCCACCCCAGGTACTTGCCCCCAGACCTGGTGTTCAGCTTTTCCTGGAGAGAGGGACTTGGCCTCTCTCCCCCTTGCAGCTGGGGAGGCTAGCTATGAGTGTTTCCATACGGCAAGCATTTTCATTCATTGATTCATTCAACAGACATTTCTTGGATGCCTCCCTACTATGTGCCAGGCAACGATCTAGGCTAAAGTTTCCAGCTGACCAGAGGTAGCCCCAAGCACCGGCTCACCTCACCCAGGGTTCGTGGAGGTGCTAAATAAATAAACTTAGGACTGGGTCATTTCCTCTGCTCCAAGAGTTGCCATCGTTCCTGACTATGGGAGGGCCAAGTCTAAATGCCAAGGCCACCACAGTCCCCTCCCCACGGACATTCCAGTCACCTCCAGCCATAACCTAGTCCCGCAACCTAAACACTCCTGCCTGTAGCCTCTGAGCTGCTTCTCATGCTGTTCTCTCCACCCCAAAAGACCCCTTCCCTTGCCCAGAAGGCCTAGCTCTGCCAGTCAGAAGTCCACTGACCTTTAAGGCTCTGGCCTTTCACGACACCTCCTCCAGGAAGGCTGCCTGGTCAGCACCAGGCTGTGGACTTCCAGACCTGGATCAGGATGATGCCAGCTCAGCCACTCAGCAGGTGCATAACCCTACTCTACTCACTGGCTCTTCATCTCGGTTTCTGCATGTCTAAAATGGGTTAAGACTTCTTCCTAAGACTGCTGAGAGGTACGCTGTGGGTGCTTCTGAGGAATGATGAATGAGAGGATGCCCAGGAAGGACCTGACTCTCGGGAAGAGCTCAATAAATGCCATTATTATTATCCAGACTGAAAGCATCCTGAATCTGCTCGAACACTCCACGCTGAGCGTGTGCTGGGATGTGCAGACAGGGACGTGGGTCTCTCTGGAAGCTGAAGAGACAGACTCACACCTCCACAGCCCTCATGGTTGCAGAACCACCCACATCCTCAGGAGACTCCCCCAGAAATCCCTCGCTCTGATACCCTGGTCCTCTCAACCCTGCAGAGATGGGTGGAAGGGACCCCTCGAGCTCACGGAGGCCAGGCAGGCAAGCAGCCTTCATTCAGCTCATAGGCCCCTGCTGATTGACTGGTGCAGCCTGCCCTGAGCCTTGGCAAGAACCCAAGGTCAGGGGAAGAACTCAGTGGGGGGAAAGAGGGCAGCAATTGATTGGCGATGTCTGCCAAGGGCACAGCAGTCTAAGGCAAGCCAGACCTGCCACGGACCTGCCATCCTTGACATTTTACAGAGGACACAGCTGAGGCCAGGCTGGAAGGTCACTTGCTCAAGGTCGTGAGCCCATAAAAGCAACAGCTGGCCCGGAACTGCATTTCCAAGGGATCCAATAGGATCCCAAGGATCCTCTTGTGACAGCCCCACTCAGCCCAGGGCCCTCACAAGCAGGGGACTAGTAAAAGCTTGTGCCAACCTGACTTCCCTTACGGTCCAGTGGATAAGAATCCGCCTGTCTATGCAGGGGACACAGGTTCGATCCCTGGTCTGGGAAGATTTCACATGCCATAAGGCAACTCAGCCCAGGTGCCACAACTATTCAAGCCTGCACACTGTAGAGCCCATGCTCCACAACAAGAGACACCACCACAGTGAAAAGCCTGCACACCGCAACGGAAAGCAGTCCCTGCTTGCCGCAACCAGGGAAAGCACGCACACAGCAAGGAGGATCCAGAGCAGTTTCCCCCAAAAATAGACTTAATACAAATAAAAAAGCTTGTGTGGCTAACGAAGGGGAGTCTGTTGACCTGCCATGTGGTCCTGGGAGGTTGCTTCACCTTGCTGAGCCTCAGCGCCTTCACCTACACACCCAGGGACCAAAACACCCTTCCTGGAACCATAAGAGGATTAAAATGCCAAAGTGGAAAGCTCTGTCTGGCAAACAGATGGCCAGCAGGGTCCTATGATCCCCGTAATCGGTGAAGTGTTTAGACAGAAGTCCCCGAAGCTAGCAACAGAGAGTACCTCCTCCTCCAGGGAGCCTCCCTGGCTACTAAAGCTGGAAGTAGTTATTTCCATCTCTCATTTCCTAGTGGGCTTTGGAAGGCTGAGGGCCCCAGAGGGCAGGGGCTCTATCTGCCTTGTTCTCTGTTGTCACCTTGCTCCTGGCACAGTGCCTGCACACCATGAATTCCTGTATTATGGCGATCCACCCACCGTACTGGGATGGTGTGTGTCTGAGACCTCACCACCTTTCAAGGCAACTAGGCTTTTTCATCTGTGCATCCCCAGCTCCTGGCAGGCAGCCTAGCACAGAGCAGTGAATCTCCCTGAATGAACGGATGAGTAAAAAGCCAAAATAGCAGTTCCTGTTTACTGCCCACTTGCTGTCGGTTCCTGCCAAGCCGCACAGCTGCCCTCTGAAGTGGACCTCTGGCCCACCTGACAGATGAGGAGACTGAGGTCATGTGGGAGCTGACCGGGAAAGCCGAGCCGCCAGTTCAGGCCTGAGGACTGCAAGCCAGGAGGCCCTGCCACCTCGGCTTCTCCCAGTTGCAAGCTCAGGCCTGGACTCTGCGGGGCAGCTGCCCCTGCCTTGGCAGCGAATCCTGAAGCCGACAGCTGGTGGCTGGATCTCCCTCCTCCTCCTCCAAGGGAGGCCCCGCCCCACAGACTCTAGGTCATTAAGTCCTGAGTCATTAAGTCCGCATCCGCAGGAGCCTGTTCACAGCCAGCCCCGGCCTTACCCCCTGACCCCCCGGGCCTTTGTCCCCAGTGCCCTCTGCACAATGGCAGGGGCTCCCGGGGCCCCAAACAGCTGCTGCGGACGGGGTGCTGGTTTGCTGTGGGGCCAGGAGGACTGCCTGGGGCCTGGGCCTGAGCCCACCTAGCCCTAGCCCTGAAAGGCTCAGGCTGAGCTCCCCCAAGCTTTCCACACACTCAGCTTCATCCCACCCACAAGCCGGTGAGAAAATTGCTATTACGCCCTTGATGAAGCAAGTGAGGCCCAGAGAGGTGAGGTGATTTGTCTGAGGACACATAGCCAATGAAAATGGAGCCAGGGTTCATCTCAGTCTGCGAAGCCCAACAAGGCTGGCAGACTGGCCTAAGGGCACCCAGATCACACTGCACCCCTCCCCGCCAGGCACCTTCACCGGCTTCTGGCTGCTCCTCTGGACAAACCAGGTACTTAGGTCAACACTTGAGGCCCTGCTCACTCTGGTAGCTTAATTCCTTTTAACCTCCACCCTCCTACAAGCTCTCCCTGCCCTTCTGGTCATGCCCATGCATTCTCCAACTCCCTCCCAATGACATCCCCATTTGCTCCACAATGGGCAGATCCAGCCAGTCCTCCGGGCCCAGAGCAGAAGCCTCTTCCATCAGAAAGCCCTCCATGACCAGCTGCAGTTTCCCACACGCTCAGTGTCTCTCCTCCAGCCCTACTTTGGCTCTGTGCAAAACTCAAGTCAGTTGCAGACTCATCTTATGCCCCATGGATGCTGTCGGCCATCTGATTCCTTAGAGCTTTGCCACCTAGACAGTGACCGGCAGGGTACCCTCAACCCAGGCTGATGCCCGTTGTTTACTGAATGGAACCACAAAGGAGCAGGGGAGAGGGGAGCAGGAACCCACGCTTACCCTTCCCCCCTCTTTTCACTGCCCATGCTGCACCCCTACTTCTGGCTATCATGTTAACAGACCTCATGCTTCTGCCCCTCCCTGGCTGTGTGACCTTGGGCAGTAATGTAACCTCTCTGTGCCCCTGTTTTCTCCTGGGTCAAATGCGGGTAGGAACAGCACCTGCATGTCTTAAGGTTATGACATAAACACTGGGAGGTACCAGACAGGAATGATTACTATTATTATGTCTGTCTACACCTCACTTCAGTGGCCAGCACATGAATTTAAGGGTCAGATAGACTTAGGTCCTGACCACTTACTGGATGTATAATTCCGGGGAGGAGGCTAGTCCCCAGGGCCTCTATTTTTCCCATCTCTAAAATGGTACTAAGAGGTGACCGGCCGGCGCACAGCCCGCCCCGCACCGGGAGAGAAAGCGCACAATAGCTCTTGACACGCAAATGGGTTAACACAATAAAGGCGGCTCCGGCCGCTGCCGGGGGAGCGCAGCAATTCCCGGCCCGCGGGAGGTAATAAAGCGGCCCTTTTGTGCGCGCCTCCCCGTTCTCACCCCCGCCCCGAGCCCAGAGGAATCTCCGCCTGATTGAATTACGGTTCATGAATATGAGCTGCTCCGCTCGCTTCCTCCTGGTTTGCGAGGGGCTGGAGAGAGGAAGGGGCAGAAGGGAGATTGCAGAAGGGGGCCCCCAGCTCAGGCCCCAGGCCCTCCTGGGACTCAGATGCGAGCCACGTGTGCTCACCACGTGGGGTGCCCTGGGAAGGCGGGTGGGAGACCCAGCACAGGCAGCTGGAAAGATAAGGGTCCCTGACCTGCCCTAGGGTCTTTGATCATTGGTTCCAAACGGGACTGGAAGAGCCATTCAAGGCCCGGGTTCTGGGGATAAGGCTACCACTGGCCATGAGCGTGTGCACTTATGGAAGGCTTGTGATATGCCATTGCCTGTCCTCAGCCCTCCGCGAATCCTTTAACACAGATGCTGTCCTCCTCACCGATAAGGAGACTAAGGCTCAGAGAGGCAAAGCTACTCACCCAAGGTCACACAGCCAACAAGCTGGCTTTTAATCACAAGCCCCTGGGTGTTAAGAAACCCAGACTAGCCCAGCCCTGGTCCACAACTGTGAAGCTCAGAAGGGACAGGAGGTGGGTGAGCTTATATGGAATTAAGGCTTGTGATAAGGATTACTGCGGGGTGGGGGGGGAGGTAGGAAGCTAACCTTGAGAGAGGAGACTGCTCAGAGGTGTCTGCCCCTCCCTGCATGGGACTGGAAGGGAGGTCCAGGGTCACTGCCCGAGTCAGAGGGGCCCACACCGGATTCTCTCCCCAGCTTAAATCTCTCCTATCACTTAAAGTCTCTGGGACAAACCCCTACCTTCACCCCCAGGGCCACCTCGTCCCCTCATCCAGCATACCCCAGCACTCAGGCCTGCGACGTGGCCCACTCCCAAGGCCCAGAACACTCTGCTACTCCCCTGCCCGGCCTGAGAGTCACATGGCCCCCCTGCATAGGGCCCTTCCTGACTAGCAGACTGAGTGGGAAGCCAAAGCTGCTCCACCAGCATCCTGTCTTCGCCACCAGCTGAGGGCCAGCCAAGGGGGTCCCCAGGTTTCAGTGTGGGAAGACACATCAGTGAGGCCAGACTCCCTCCATAGCGATGGCCCCTGACTCGTAGGGGGACCCCGGCCAACAAGTGGCGGTGCTTCCCTCTACCTAGAGAACGGGGTGGAGGGGGTGCTGGTGGGGTGGGAAGACCTGGGGACTCAGGAGTCAAGGCAGTTCACAGCTGAACCTCTGTGGCTGCTTGGCTGAGCACCTCTGTTTAAGCTTCAGTTTCCTCATCCGTAAAATGGCATAGCATATGAGCTACTGTAAGGAGGCACTGAGATCCTGTAAGATGCCTGGCACAGGGGGAGACGCCGGGTAAGCTGGCATTCCCTCTTGCTTGTCGCCTAGTGTTGTTGCCAAGCCCAGGGAAGGGAACAGAAGGAATTGCCCAATTCCGACAGCCGCTCCCTCCGCCTTGGCTGTGGAAGTGTAAATACTCCACGGAAGACCTCCAACTGCCTGTGTTTGTGGGTCTCTGGCACACACTCTGAGTTTGTTTCTAAACTGGGAAGCTTCGAGAGGCGGCACAAACAGCCCCTCTGCCCACCTCTCCCACTTCTACCCCCATCTGCCGTTGCTCTGTCCTTGGAAGCCTGTGTGTTTAACGACACCGTTTCAGCTGAAAATATCTCCCTGCCAAGCCAAGTTCTCTAACCCTTTCCTAGAAATGTGATCATAGCCGTTTCACCCACATCCGACACCAGCACCAATTGCTGGAAGGAACTTAGAAGGGGAATCAAAGAGCCGGCAGCAAAATGCTGCTCTGGGCCTTCACAAGGAACAGGGCCAGGGCTGGGGTGTGGTGGGGAAGAGAAGGCTGCTGCCCGACCCCCGTCCAGGCTGGCCCCTGGCAGGGGCACGCTTATCCAGACCTTGGCACCAATGGGCCTGACTTACCCTCCATTCAACTTAATGAGCACCACACTGTGCTTGTCAAATCATCTTAAACTCCAACTGGAGAGTGGGGCAGTCAGGAGTCCAGGCTTGACCAAGGTCCTGTCATCTTGCGGTTGAGCAGCAGGGGTAACTGCTGGATTGGAGGGGCAGCAGGCAGCAGCTTCTCGGTTCCTTCCCTGGCTGGGGGGTTGGGGGGTCATCCCTGTTTCCCTAGGCAGAAGCAGTCTAATTTAAGGCTGGGGGCCCGCATCTCTCTGAGGACCCTGGAAACTTCAGCCTGGGGTCAGGAAGCTGTCCTCTTTTGAAGCATCCCTTTTGAAAGCACAGAGTTGCTCAGCTTGGGAGTCCTGTGCCCCAGGGCACTGCCAGGCTATACAGGCAAAGCTAAACACCTGTCTTTGGGGGGGAGGAG